CCTCTACAGAGGTCAAGCCATAGTCTTTCTGGAATTATGTAAGAGCTAACCTCTGTATCTGTTAGAGACTGGATTTGAGCATTTAGGAAACGAATCTCAAATGTATTTATATGTCTTAAATAAGGTGAAAAATGTGTACTTTATGTGTAGAAAAAAATAAATTTATCATGATTATTTGCTCCTGGGATGTTTGCTTCCCTGTGATTGGTCCCAGCTCAGACTGGGCCACAGCCAGTTGGTGCAGGAGTAAGGCAGCGAGTGAAAGCACCTAGGCTTCAGAGCAGAGGGTTTTGAGTTTAATTCTGACTGTGATTTGGGACAAATCTCTTAACCTTTCTCATCCTTAGTTTCTTGGTATATTAGATGATGGTGACACTATCTCAGGGCTGTTGTCACTAACAACATATCTAAAGTGACTAGCATAGCGTCTGACATAAAGTTGAACACATTCTAAAATGATGGCTTTTACATTTTCTTTTTTTTTTCCAGTTTACCACATTGCCTCATGGGTTATATGATGGTAGTGACCTCTAGCCTCCATTCGTAAGGCTCTTATTTCTGCCAGTAAGTGATTTTAAGCATAGAATGTACTCTTTAAAAAAAAAAACCCAGCCATTTTGGTGATTTTCATCCTTTGATGCAAATCAGAATTCTCGACAAGACCCCTCAGGCTAGAGAGTAAAGAATCCCATTTTTGTCCTGGGAAATATTCCAGTGAAGTTAGCAGAAGAGCAATATCATTAATCAGCTGCTTGGGGTAGGAAAACTCAGCTCTGGTCTTCCATGGTGTCCTCTGTGTCCCACAGGTACTGCCTAAGAGCTCTCTTGCTCTTGTGCCTTCAAAGGTGGCACCTTTGTGAAATTGGTAATCTTGCCTGAATACATTAAAGTCTTAAGGAGCCTTTTTCTTGCTGTCGTGTTTCTCCCATAAAACACCTGAAGCAATCTAGGCCATCCTTGAAAGTAGCAGAATATACATCATCTGCAGAAGTCATTTGAATTCAGTTCTGATTTTGCTTTTTAAAAGCCAATCTTAGCATGAATAGGAGGAGGATAGAATATGTGGGTGATTGCCTCCATGAACAACTGCCTCCTTTGCCATGAGACTAGAAGAAATGGATGTTGCTTGGCTATCATTACTGAACATTTTGATCAAAGATTCCATAGAAGAATCCTAATCAGAAGGGGGGAAATGCAGAACAGACTTTCAAATTCTCATGGACTCCAGACTTCCTGGAGCCATGGATGGTGGCTAAACCCCTGATACTGTTGCCCTGAAATCATTTTTAAACCTTAAACCCAAAACATCCCTTGAAGTCATCATAAAATGAGCAATAGTTTAGTTTAATGTAAAAAAAAAAAAAAAGGTCTGCCTTGAATAATATGCTCTTTTAAGAACTATCTGTATGAGATGAAATTGCTAACAGCAACTGAACAGATTAATTTGAAACCTTAGGGGCAGTGAGTTTACGTTAATGAGGGAGGAACAACTCAGAAAGGGATGTGAGAATGGTTGCACAACATGAAGAATGAGATCTGTCACTAAATTGTACATGTGGAAACTGATGAATTGGTGTGTTTTGCTGTGTATGTTCTCAACAACATAATAAAGAAAATTTAAAGGAAAAAAAAAATCCAGTCGTAGGAAGGTTTTCCATTTCCCCAGCACACCTTCTAAAATGCTGTCAGCTCAGTTTTTTATTTGGGAAAAAAACACTTTAGCTTTACTTTTCCATAATAACTTCGTGAAACTCAGTGGAGATGGTCTGAAGCTGTGTGCTTGATTTTGACTAAGGAACATTTGTTTCTAAGTAACGTTTGTTATTTGCCTGAGACAAAGATTTTCATGTGCTCTACTAAAAAGTAGTTTCAGCCATGCTTATTTTGTGTGCTTTTGGCTAAGCTCATACTACGGAAGTAGAGGAAAGAAATGAAAATGAATTTGAAAACATCTCATTTTCCTCCAGCGTGGATTTGCTAACTAGTTAGTTAGTGCATCCCAGCACCGACAGTACTTAGGTGCTTCATCTCATGGCAGCCCCGTGTGTGTGAGAGCAGAACTGTTCGTAGGTTTCAGTAGCTGATCTTTTGGAAGTAGATTACCAGACCTTTCTGCTGAGACACCCCTGTGTGCACGCAAACCTCTTGTCTTTTCGTTGTAGCCTGGCATGTGGACCATTTGTTTGGTTCTCTAGTGATGCTCTGACAGTATATACCCCAAGTGAATACCTTGAACAAATAGATTTATTCTCTTACAGTTTAGAAGGTTAGAAGTCTGAGTTCAAAGTGCCAGCTCTAGGGGCTGGGTAAAAGCCCCTCAACCTTAGGCTTCAACTCTGCTTCTTCTCCATGCCCACTGGAACTGGAGGCTTCTCTTAAACAGCTGCTGGCTGCTGAGGCTGACAAACCCAAGGTTGACAAGTAAAATGGCACAGTACCAAGATGATTAAGCTACATGGCAGGCCACTAGTTCAAGGCTAGAAACAGTCCCTAGATCAGCAAGCAGTATGGCAGGCTGTTGAATGAAGACTTGGCTACATGCAGGGTGCCAGTGTGCCAGAAACTCAAAACCTTTCTCAAAACATCTTACCTCCAAAAAAGGAGAAGATCTTCAATTAGATGGATTGACACAGTGGCTGCAAGAATGGGCTCAGGCATAGCAAATATTATAAGGATGGTGCAGGACCAGGCAGTGTGTTTCATTCTGTTGAACATAAGGAGCTCCAGTGACATAGTGCCTAAGGCATTTGACTGTTAACCAGAAGGTTGGCAGTTCAAACACACCAGCTACTTCATGGAGGGAAGACTGGGCAATCTACTTCCATAATGATTTATTGCCTCAGAAACCAGTGGTAAATCTTCATGGAAGATTATAGAGTCACTATAAGTCACACCTAACAACAACAATAAGGGGCTCTGGAGGTGTCGCAGATAAGGTATTTAGCTGCTAACCAGAAGGTCAGCAGTTCAAACTCACAACTCTAAGGCAGCTACTCAGTTATATCAGTAGATTCCACCATGGAGTTGATTACCAGGCTCATTATGGGGAATAACCACATCCAGCTGCTCAGCCAAGGTGACACATAACCTTAACCACACACCGTTTACACCATTCAGGGACTCTTCACTGGCATTGTGAGTAGGTGAAAACATAAAAGTGTTCCTTGATAGAGTTTATAGTTGAACTGGAAACACCTTGAAAATAATCACAAAGCAGAAATGAACCAGTTACAAGGGTGAAATATAATAATAGCACGTTTAGTAAGCACCACTTTCTGCTGGCCCTACACTCATTTGGTCCTCACCTGAATCTAGCAAGGTGAATGGTGTCATCACCTCTGTTTTACAGAGAAAACTGAGGCACTGGGAGGCAGTGAGTGAGTCATGCGCCCTTTGCTAGCTCTCATTGTGCTCAGAGTTACTGCTGCCCTCGAGGTTTCAGCGATATTTGACTTGTCTGATGACACCTGGGGTCCTTTCTGGGATAAATAGGTTTAAGTTTGAGAAAAAATAAGGAAGTGTTCTGAAGATGGGAGAATTGTGTTTTAACTTTCTAAGCAGACTTGATTTTTGATTAAAAGGCCAAAAAAAAAAAAAAAAAACATTTTTTTAATTTGGCGCTTAGCATTTTTGTAATGCCATTTCATAGAAATTTAAATTGTAGGTAGCCTAAAAGAGAGGATCTTAAAATGGGAAAGCTAATTGCATAAGAAAACAATATCACATGACTGTTCTTTGGAGAAAACAGTCCAAAACAGAAGTAAAATTGGGTCAAGTGTTGAGAATTGCTCAGCCTGCCAGTCATGACTTGCCCAGGGCAGTGGGGGCTGGCAGCAGTTGGCTGGGTGTCATGGAGGCAGTTTTTTCCCCTTAGTGCATTCTGGTTACCCATTTCTGTTCTTTCAACTTAACTTGCAGAGGGGGTGTTCCAAAGTGCAACCTCAGTGGGAACAGACACAGAGCCCCTGCCGCCCTTCACTGGGGGAGGGTCTCCGGCACATAGCACTGGTGCCCCTCAGTGACAGGTGCTGCCAAAGCTATGTGTCTCCAGGCTCAGGGGTTACAGCAGGGTGGGGAAGGCAAGCATGTGTCCTGAGTGCGTGAGCCATAGAGGCACCCTGCCCCCAAGCATCCAGGCAATCGCAAACATTGTTAGGATGGAAAACTTGACCAAAAGCAGGAGAGGAAAAAGCCTGCATGCCTTGAGCCATTTCTCCCTACTGAGGAGTTCATGGCTGCTTGTCCAAGCAAAGCTCCGTTTCTCCTCCCATCCTGCTGCTCCTGCCGCCCAGAGGAAGCGGGAGCTGCCCAGCGGACCGACTGCTTCTGGCTGTCGCACAGTGTAACCTTAGGCGGGTGAGTTCCCAGGACCCGCATCCCGGCAGGCTGCCGCCCCTCAGCCCGGGAGACTAGCTGCTCCCAGCCCTCCTTGATTAGGAGATGTCAGGGTTGTCAGGGCAACTGGTAATGAAGGCAGCGTATCATATTTACCCCTCTTGTATTGTGTGCTGAATATTTAACTGAGTGGTCACAGGAAGAAGATTGGGAAAAGGTGGTGCAGCAGCAAGGAGAAGCTGGGATCTGATTGAACAGGTTAGGCAGTGAAGGTTGGCATCAGACCTGCTTGTCCTTTATCGGGGCTTTTCTGGAAGAAGAGAGAGAGAGAGAGAGAGAGTGTGTGTGTGTGTGCGCGCACACACACACACACATACATGTATTCACGTGTGCCTGTGGAGAAAAAGTGGGAGGGGGCTTGCTGAAGAGGTTGGGGGTTGCTGCTAGGTGAGGGGGAACTGCAGGGCCTCCTGCAGTTGCTGTGGCTGGTAGTATCTGTCAGCTGTTTGCACACTGTTTACCCATAGGGGATCTATTACAAGTGCTCAAATGAACTGGCAGCTTAGGAACTAGCAGCTTCCCAGGAGCTGCAATTACATAAGCATATATTTTTAATATAATAGTAATTACAAAAAAAAAAAAAAAACCCACCAAGTAGCAGCGGTATGCCTGGATCAGCTACAGCTATCCGACAAGAGAGACTGAAGAAGACCAATGCGAGACCAGTTCCCCTTGGTTTGTTCACCATTAATGAGGAAGATGAACAGCAAAAGAATGGAAATTCCAGAAGACTGAAAGGTATGCATTAGCCCTACCCTATGGTCAGTGCTGGACGCAGCCCCACTTTCCCACAGTGCTTATAGCACATTTTGCAAACTGTCCTGGTAGTGCATGTTGTGAGGAGTGCTGGTGACCTTCAGCACAGTTTGCTGGTGGGTGTTTACACACTCCATAGGGTTGTGTATGTGTGAAATGACAAGCAGTTTTTACAGATTTGGTCGATTTCAGATCAGCTGCCTTTTTGACCCAAGCTACCTTCTTTAATGTTCACTGAACAGTTACCATGCTCCATCCTCACCAGGAGGAGGAAACAGGAGTTATTGAGGTTTAGGTGAAGTCTCCCCGCCTGCCTTACACGCACCAGATGATTTTTGTTTCCTTTAATGAGGTGAGTTTCCTCCAAAGGGGTGGTTTAGACAAAATGACGTGCGGTGCAGCCTTTCCATGGGCACAGGGTAAAGATGTTACCTCCTTTTCTGTACTACAATGTTAAGATCATGGTGAGGAGGAAAACAGACATTGAAGGTGACTGTTGAGGGCAAAACTTGGGAACAAGGAGGGGGCTGTGATGGTCTGTAACTTCTGATGCTACGTCTGCTGTTGCACATGGGAATGAAAGTTGAAATGTGCTGGGTATAGAGAGGCGGTCTGCTGCTGGTGCTGTATGTTCACAGTGATGAGATGTAACAGCAGCTGGCTTGGCTTCTTCAGTCTGTTTACTGCTTCATCTTTAGCATTGTCTCATGGCTGGCCCTTTCAAAGCTTTAATTGTAGGTCAGAGATGGCACCGTCCTGCATTTCTGAGGAAGGGCTCTAATACATGCATTTTTAAAAAAATAAAAAAGAAAGCTGTTCTCTTAAGCAGATAGGCTGTAAGTTTTGTGATTTTAATGTGCTGATTAAATTTGAACTTGCATTCAATTTGTTCTGTCACTGAGCTATCAAATTTTTCTTAGCGCGGTACAGGGGCGTAAAATGGCAAAGGAGCAAGCAAATACTTAAGCAGTAATTCTGAGTGTTCACACACCATCCAGTGTCTGAGCACTACTGGTTTGCTTCCTCCTAGTTCTCAAGTGAATTTTAGTTTGGTTTTGTAAGATCAGATTGGAACTGTGTACTTTTAATCCAAAATATGTTTTAACTTCATTTTTTTAAAAAATGCTTGTATACTAGGATGTTCTAACAAGTAGAATCCTATTGCTGTAATTGATTTTTATTTACTGTGAGACATGGCCTCAATCTGAGGACCAGATGACCTCAGGACTCTAACAGTGCTGCGAGTGGAAGGTGACTTATGTGGTTCTTTTATTTGCCCGTAAGTTAGATAGGTAAGGCATAATGTGTGGAAAACTCAGTACTTTATATTGTTAGCAGCAAATCATTTGGCCCCCAAGGGGTTGGTAACTTTAAAAAATAATGTGGCTTTGTTGAATTGTACCCACATTGTATTTTTGGAAGCATTCTTCTTGATTTATGGCACTTTTTCCTTGGGTGTCCTGGAATAGTAATTTAGAATAACCATCCATTTTCTTCTAAGTAATTTTCTTAAGTTCTTTTTCCTGTCTCTGTCTGACTCTCTCTTTTTAGCTGCCTTTCAATATTTTATTTGAAGGCAAGAAGAATAGAGTTGGGAGAAGAGTAGGTACTTCTAAAATCTCTTTGTTTTTTGCGATTCATACAGCTCCATGGATAAGAGAGACTAAATCAAAGGGTCCCTGACCCCCCGCTGTTTTCCCTTTTCTACCCTTTGCATAAAAGAGAGAGACTGGGGGAAAATAAATCCTGTGCTGATAAAGATGTCCAGAATTTTGTTTATCTCCAAATGTCTGTAATTTATGGATACATGCAATAAAATAAGCAGATAAATAAAGTCTGGTATCCCTATTTATGCTTGATGAAACTTTTGGCTTTGATTCTAAATTTCTCCTCAGGTCTGTCTGAACAATAAGAATGTTAGCTGTCTAGTCCAGTCTGTCCAGTAGAACTTTGTTTAATATGGAAGTTTGCTAAATCTGCACTGGCCAATACACTAGTCACTAGCCTCATGTGGCTGCTGCGCACTTGAAATATGGCAAGTATGACCAAGAAACTGATTTTTAAATTGTAGTTAATTTTAGTTAATTTAGGTTAAAAAGCCACACGTAGCTAATGTGTACCATATTGGATAGCACAGTTCTGTTCTATAAAACTGTGACCTCCTGAATTTGTATCCTTCCTGCTTTACTCATCCTCATTGCTTTCTGCTGCCAGATGTGGTTGGGTTCTAAAATGAATGTAGTTATTAAGAAGCGGACCCTGGAGCAGCTGGGCTCACCACTGCAAAAGAGCACAGTAACCTGGATTTACCGACAATTTTATCTTTCCTTTCCACTTAACTGTTACTGCCCGCTCTGAATATTTCTTACCAGTTGTCAGTAGCCAGTACCGTCTTTTACAGCTTTTAGTGGGCTCCTGTTTTCTAAAGCAAAAGAGCAAGGTGATATACAAGTTATCTTTTATGTGTGACTATTAAGATAAGGAATCAGAAAACTTGTTATCTTTTTGAACCACTCCATGGTCTAATCAACCAGCCATGTCCATACCTCGTTTTTATGCATAGTACTTTTTTCTGTCACTAGCAGAAATGAAGAGGCTTGCTAAATTCGATAAGCTAAAAGCTTCTGTCCAGGATGGTCCTGGGTTAAATGGGGTGTTTTTAATGATGAGGAGCATCTGCCCCTCTATTCAGGTACTCGGGCTGTTAATAACTGTTACTCATTCATTACAATGAACTGAACAGGAATGAATGTGTCAGTTACCTTCTGGACTCCCAACTGGTAGCTTCTAAGTTTTCTGGTGGAGTGATACAGTAGTTTAGTTAGCTGGTAGACTAGATAAATTCTTGAAGGAGTGACTGCTCTCCCATGTAATCAGTAGGAATGTAAATATTTTACATGTCTTGTTATTAACATATAGCATTCACATAGCCAGTTGGAATGAACTGGGGTAGGCTGTTACTGTTATAATGCAGAGCCCTGAGTCTCAGTTAATGCTGACCTCAGGACTGGCTTATGAGAAATTGTTTAGGTACTGCAGTAACTAAATGCCCTTGGATAGATTTCAAGGCGAACCTGGCTTATGGTGAGTTGTGCTGAGCACAGTGTGATCATTAAGTAACAAGACATTTTCTCCCTAAACCAACATTTGCTAAATGCTCACTCTGTATAGATTACTTTGCTGGGATACTATGAAGAATGCAAAGATAATTGACATGGTTTCTGCTTGTAGAATGTTCACTGTCCAGTGGAGGAAGACAGATGTATGCAAATAATGCAAGAGTATAAACTGAAATCAGGGCATGAGGGAAGACAGGGTGGGGCTGCAGAAGTGTTAAATATGTGCTGAGTATGGAATTATTAGCCTTAAGTTTTCAACTGTAGCATAGGGATTAAGTGATATAGGCTCTCATCCTATCCCATGTCAAATGTGTGGCTGAGGTTGGCAGCTCACATAAGCTTTCAAGGCAGGAGCATAGGATTATGGGTGGAGAGGCCTCTTCTAAATTTAGTAGAATCTGGACATCTGTACAGTGTTTTTCTGTAAACACACCTATTCCTCACTTACTGTCTGATTATCCAGTGTTCTGCATGTACCACAAAAGTAAAACATCTGTCTGTTTTTACGCATTAACCTGGTATCCTTGCTGTGTCCACCTCTCGGCCTGCAGAGCCGCCCACGTCTGTCCGGCTTGCACTGAAGCAACCAGCTGTCTAGAAGGCCTCTTGCTGATCCCATCCGCGCCACCAGAGCTACTGCTGCAGCTCTTTGTGCAAAAGAGGTGACTGAGGTGGATCTTGCAGGAGCCCTTCTAAGAAAGGCCTGCGAGTGGCTAGAGAGGCCCAGGAAGAAACAGGAATGGGGGAGGTTGCTGCTGCTACTTCCCTTTACTTGGCACCCTGGAAGGACCAAGCCCCGCAGTGGGAAGGGTACTAGGGGTAATTTGGGGTCTAGAGGCTGTAACACAAGCTGGCTGTCCCTTCCTCCTCAGTGGCCTGGGCTGCTGAGCTCTTCTTCCCAGCAGATATTAGTCTCCAGGCTCTTAGCCTTGGATTCTAAGTCCCCCAGGACCAGCAGTACATTACTCATTCCCTGGGGCTCCTCTCCAGCCTGCACGGTGGCAGCAAGTAGCTGGGGCTGGGGAGCGGATGGCTCTGGGGGGGTATGGGCCTAACCAGCAGCCCTCGCTGACCATCTTGACCCCCACCCCACCAGTTGCCCCAGCTCCAGAGCTGCCAACTGTGCTGCCAGTTGAAGATGAGTCCATATCACAGGCATTTTAAACCCCTCAGTAGAATTGCTTCACTTAAAACAGAGGTCTCAACTGGGATCCTTGAACTGTATTTGGTCTACGGGTGTGTTTCTTTGGCCCCTGAACTTCTCTTTGTTTTTTCAGTGAGTCATTGTTTAGAAACTGAGAGGTTTTACTTAACAATCTGGATTTCAGCTTCCCTTGAAAAATTAGAAGATGTGGCCACACTCGGCTAATGGTTTCATGGCAGCAGTCAGCAGAAGCTAAGTAGCACCTGCCACCTTAGATAGGTCATGCATGTTCCTTTCTGCCACAGTCCCCACCCCTTTCCAGCACATACATTACCTGGCCTGCTTCAGTTATTTACATCACATTAGGCGTTCATGTTTGTAACCCCTGACTAAGGGATAAGTCCAAGCTCCTTAGCATGGCACAAGGACCGCCCATCTCCCGGCCCCTGGCTCCCTCGCCATCTCTTTCCTGCTACTCCCTTGTTAAACTTTATGCTCCAGCAACATCAAAGTGCTTGTTGCATATTCCTGCTTCATCATGCTGTTGCACGCCTTTGTGTCCTCACGGTCTTCCTTCTGTTTTCTTCACCTTTCTTCCTCATCCAGACAACTGACTCATCCTTTCGGCTGAGATCAGGTGTCATCTCCTTAGAAAACCTCCTCTCTCACTCCCAACCCTCCACATCGCCTCACTGTGCTCCTGTGCCTCCCTGGTTTCC